CCTTTCAGTTTTGCCCGCGCCGGTGAGGCACGCGCGTTGGTGTTTCCAAACAGTGATAATCCACGAAGTCAGCCCACGTGAACACCCTCTTTTCTTTTTGTTTAATACGTTCTTACCCTGTTCGTTTTGTGCAGTAATTGCTTTCTTCAGTCAGCCTTGCTGCTTACATGTTACCTTTCTTCCTGGCACAGCGAGGTGATGGTTCTGCCTGCTCGCCCGCCCGTACCCCAGGGGCCCCGCTGCGTCACTGCTCACGGGCATCCCCGCTTCCCCGCTCGGCGTGAGCCGCGCCCTCTCGGAACGCACGTGCGTTTCTCCTGAACACCTTGCGCGCCTTCTGTTGCTCAAGTTACCCCTTCCCGATGAACGAGGCCCGAACTCGTTGGAGACCAGGGGCCTCTTGAGCCGTGACTGCCCTCAGTCAACAGCCCTTTCTCTCTTCCGAAAGGCAACGTCATCCTTCACTTTTGGGTTGAACAAACGATGATTTTACTTGGAGACAGGTCACGTGAGCTCCACCTTCCTTCCTCCCCTGCTCCCCGCCCCATCTGCCTGTCTAGCTCTACAGGACAGTGTGGTTACACGCCGAGTCAGAGTGGGCCCCTAGGGCTTACTCCTGCTTCACTGAAACTTGTGGTCAGGGCTTAGTGGTGACCATCCCCTCCCCCATCGTCCTGTTCACAGCAGGGACTCAGGTCACTCTGGACTGAGGCCACTCTGGGCCCTGAGGCCTCAAGTGTGGAAATAGCCATCGCTGCCCTCAGGTGACAAGCTTATGCCACCAAGCCTGTCGCCCTCATGTTTTGTTTTTGTTTTTGTTTTTAAAGATTTATTTATTTGTGCATACAGAACTGGGGTACAGGCCAGAGGCTCAGGGGTGGTGAGAGGCTTCCCCAGAGACAGAGCGGGGAGCAGAACAGGCAGATGTACTGAAATCCACTGCTGAGGGGAGCAGCGGGCAGGTCAGGAGAGGTCTGCCACGCCCTGTGGTCACCTCCGGGGCAGGCGGGGATCGAACTCATGCGGAAGTGGCTTTAGCTTCTTAGTGCTGTGCTTTAACCGGCTGCGCCACCAGGGGGGCCTGTCGCCCTCATGTTTTACCCACACCCATCAAACGTGCAGGATTTCCTTCTCCGAGCCGAGCGGTCGCCCTCAGTACGCATAGATCAGTGACTTTCCCCCGTCTCTCAGACAGCTGGGTACCTTCGTGCCTGGCTAGTGTGAACAGCGTGTGCTGCACAGGCCAGCGCTACCCGTGTCACCGTCCTGATTTCCGGCTCATGCCCGCAGGGGCTAAAACGCCGGGTCCCTTTCTGCGCCTGAGACACCTGGCTACGCGCCTCGCCGGCTGCCATCTTGCTTTCCCTGCAGGAGTGCCCCAGGGGCCAGTGTCTCCAAGCCCTTGTCCACACTTGTTGTGTGTTGTTTTGTAACAGCGGTGGCTGTTTGAAAAGAGATGGTTCTCTGGCCATCTCACGGCAGTTTGAGGCTCATCCCCCATGAATGGGCGATGCATCATGGCTGCCCATTCAGCACAGACGCAGTCTTGGGCTGGAGACTGGCAGGAACCACAGTGCAGGGCTGGCTTCTGTGGCTTGGGGCTGGCTGGTCGTGACCTTGTTTACGAGTCAGTCTTAGCAGTGATTTGGAAGGAAGAGGAATCTTTGCTCAGTGTCCAGAGCTACAGAATTAGCTCTGAGTATGTAAGAATAAGTACGAGTTGCTGGATATGCACGCAGTTCTGGGCCCAAACCAGTGGTACCTACTTTTGCTCCATAAGGAGACCAAATTGCCCCTGAAAGAGATGATGTGTGGAGAAGGTTTTACGTTCACATGGTCAGGTAGTCTGGTTGCATTTAGAGATTCATCCCCCTTTATTTTTCTGCTTTTCTCATTGCCCGTATTGTTGGGTACGAGCGTGTCGCTC